CCGTTCTGTGGCTCTGTGCACACGGGTGTTGTATGTGTATCCACGCTGTGTCACCATGTACACGGGAGATAGAGGTGCTTGCTGAAGAGGGCTTCTCTGTATGTTCATAGATCAGGACATGTGCATATGGCTACAATATGTTCCTGTACATTTAAAGATCTGTAAGGGCACTTGTACATGTTTGCATCTATAGATTTATACTTTATACACATTACAAAATGTGTGTGCCTGTATAGCTGTAATGTATTATGTTTCTATAGCCACATCCATACATGGAGAGCCATGTACTTAGATATGACTGTGTATAGTCCATATATATAGTCTATACATAGTCCATATAAAGATACTTCTAAGTGTGGCATAAATGTGTATGTGTGTGTACATACATACATACATACATACATACATACATATATATATATATATATATATATATATATATATATATATATATATATATAATGTCTATCCCATATATATGGGGATAGACACATAGATGTGTGAGAGAAACTGTATACTTATATTTCTTAGGTAATATAAATCAAGGGGTCTGAATGGCTGTATACATATATTATTAATATGCATCATATGTATGACATATAACACAGATCTCTGTGTATCATGTATATATATATTATAAATTACATCTCTACATATAAATTCCCCACATAGACACAGAGGGGGGAAAAGTGTGTGCCTTTAGATTTTATTTTAAAACATAATTATATGTATTTTAGAAGTGTGTATAAGACTGTCTGCATATACATCTCTTTTTAATCTATTTCATGCATGTTATTATGTGTATATCTTACATATAAAATATATACTTGTTTTTCTATAATTATATAGGTACATGGAATTTTATATATAGGCTTATCCTATATCTGTGTGTGTATAGATGAGGCTATTTGTATGTATATATGCAGACAAAGACAGGTAAAGATTTGTGTATTACATTAGTATTTTGTATATGTATAAATATATGTAATGATACATATACAGGGAGAGATATATGTGGGTAGGTATGTGAGAGCCTTTTAAAATACATATATGATTGATATATTACAATGGACCTGAGTATATATATATAGACATATGTATTATATAAAGAATATGTGTACATATGTAGATATATTATGAAGGGGAGACATAGATATATGCATAGAGACATTCCCTCTACAAATATGAATGTTTATATATAAAGATATGTATTTGGGTATATAAAATCTGTATATATATGTGTGTGTGTGTGTGTGTGTGTGTGAGTGAGAAATGTCTATGAATCCATAGACAAATGAATTATACAGAGAGCAATTTAAAAAATGTACACTGATGCATACAGATGTATAAAGTATTGGTTTTATTAGTGTCTATCCTTTACATACATCCCCAAGCTCAACAGGACTATATATATAAAGATGTATGAATCTGTACGTAGGTGTGGGGTGTGTAAAAAGGGAAAGTTGTGAGGGACCATGTGTGTGCATATACATGTATATATAAAATATGTGTGTGTTCACATATAGCAATGATGTATTTCGTACATGTATCCCTGTATATAAACATTCCACCTGTATCTACAAAGATATTCGCGTGTGTGTGTCTAAGCATTAGAGATATATACATTATATCCTATATATGGGGCAGATATACACACATATTCCCCATCTATATAGATAAGTGTATATATAAAATTGGGGGAGATATCCTGTACATACCTATATATTTTCTTTTTTTGTGTGTGTATGAAGGCAGAGATATATACACCAGTATATGGTACTGTTTTTAGATGTATATCCCCGTAACATACATTGAGACACATTAAAGGGGGAGGTAATATGAGTAATTTTTAATGTATAATATGTATTATTGGTGAAATGTATAATGCACTATCTATATATATCCTTATATCTGCAGTCTCTGTGTATGTACACACAGATTTATAAATGGGTGTATATATATATATATATGTATGTATGTATGTATGTATGTATGTATGTATGTACGTATGCTTGCATATGTGGGGATGTGTATTCTACTTAAGGAGTGCAAAGGTACTGTTGTGTGTTCCATGTATCAAAAGTCCATATGTCTATATGCTGTATTTTATAGGGGGCTCTTCATCCACATACACATTGCCTGTATGTCTACAGAATGATTGTGTGCAAGAGACTATATATATACATATATATAGAGAGAGAGAGAATGAGCAGGTTTATACACAGAGCCCTTGATATTAACCTCCATTATACAAATAGCAATAAAGATATATCTAAGTTCTCAATTTAATATATATTTTTATATAAATACATGCATCTTATAAATAAATATACACACATAGAGAGGTGGGATCTTTTTTATTTAGTAATAAATAATTACATATATTTAAGGGGTGGGTTATGTATTAGAGTGTATAGGTGTGTGTATATATGGGTGTGTGTGTAAAATATTCTATATGGCGCTCATGTATGCACATATCCATATGGAGGCATCTGATGGAAAGGGGGAGCTTGCATTTCTGTAGCAGTGTATCCTATAGAACATGTATGTGCATGTATATCCAGGTGTACAGCACTGGTTGTGGGTTTCTCTCTGTGCCCCTGAACACCTGTGTCAGTCTCTAACAAGGTGTGTGTGTGTGTGTGTGTGGGTGTGTGTGTGTGTGTGTGCACATCTCACTGGAGATGGATAACGTGTGTGTCCCTGGGTGTGCATGTGTAGCAGGGTGTATATCCTGATACATACATTGTCTGTGTAGGTACACACAAGTCTGTGCATTTCTGCAGAAAGGTCAGGCTGTGCAGGTGCAATTGACAACTGTATAGAATTAAAGAGAGGACTGCATAGTGCATCTGTAAAATGGCTGCATATTTTTAGGTATAGTGTATTATTGTGGGGGGACCATACAGTACAATGTGTGTGCATGTATATGTAATCTACTCTACTGACACACACAAACACACTCCCCATAGCTATATGGAGAAATCTATGCAGGTATGGATTATATGGATTTAAACTGGGGCAGGTCCATATATGTAGGTGCATGCTGAATTACACATAGATGTATATCCTTGTGTATACATAATAAACTTTTCTGTCTGTAAAAAGGTGTTTGTATATAATTTAAAACATGTATAAAAGTTGGGGGTGTCATGTATAGCTATCATGCTATACATGTGTTATACTTATATCTTATTTGATACACGTTGGATGTATATCCCTGTGTAAACATTCCAGATTTATATATACACACCATAAGACATAAATAGTAATACACAAAGGTAAGCATACCTGTGTTTAATTGTATACATTCTATTTAAAGAGTAACAATTACATTTTCAAAAGCAGGGGAGCAACAACTATCCTACAGGCAGTGCATATATATGTTTCTATATATCTGTGCATACATATACACACACAGGAATGTAGAAAATGTACATATGTATGTATAAGTCTATTGTGTTACATATGGGGCTGTGCCTATATACATGCACAGATACAGCTCTTCCCCATATCGCTATACTTTAGGTATGTATAAAATTAGGTGAGTGAGTCTGCCACTACACCTATGTATTACATATGTGTGTGTCTGCACATGTGTAGAGAGAGGTATGTGGTATTATATATTGATATATATAGCTATAGATCCCCATAATATATTTGGAATGCTGTAAAAAGGTAAATGTAAATATGTGCATATATATATATTTACATAGATATATACATAAAAAGACTAACAGGGGGAGGGGGTATAGGTAAAATGTATTCTGTATATCCCTATATGTTCCCCAGCCATACATACACAGCGAGAAATCTATTTATATTTAAAGGTAAGTATAACTTGTGTGTGAAAGCACAGGTGTGGTCTATCTATAGATAATAATTCTATGTATTTAAAGGGAAGGCATGTATTATTAGTCTATATATGATCTGTATCTGTACTGTATCATATATGAATCTCCATATAGTCTAAAGGCATGTATATAAATAAAAATATATACAAATAAAATATGTCCATGAAGTACTGGAATGGCCTGCCCAGGAAGGTGGTGGAGTCACCATCCCTGGCTATGGTTAAACAAAACCTGGCTGTGGCGCTCCCTGCCGTGGTTTAGCTGAGGTGTTAACAGTGGGCTGGACTTGATGATCTTGACAGTCTCTTCCACCCAGTGACTCTGTGATAAATAGCTATGTAAATACAGGGCTAGGGCCATGTATAGTATCATCTCTTACATATATATCAAGGCAATAAACACAACTACAGAGAAGTATGTACATGGTGCTGTAGAAAGGTAGAGGGGTTGTATATATTCTATTTAATGATAGATAACTGTCTGTGTCTTTCAAGGCGGCACTATATATTGTGTGTATAACAGAAGGTCTGTGTACAATGTATTCTATATGGGGCTCATACAGACATAATTCCTCATCTCTGGATATAAAGATCATGTGTATATAAAATGGGGTGGGGAGGTGGTGACTATCTGTATATGTAGATCCCTGTGTGTAGACATGTAGACACCCACATACAGAAAAACAAGTAAAATAGTACAATTTGGGGGAGCACTGCATGCTGTTGTATCAGTAGGTAATTCCAGGTATTTAAGGGATGGACTACAGGTACCTATCATCTGTCCATGTACACATGCAGGCAAAACAGATTGTAGATGCAGTTCCTTATGAACACATACTCACTATATGACTAAAGCTCTAGGTGTTGGTGTGTATACACACACAAATACAGGCATATAGTGTATGTTATGCTGTGTATTCCTATAAACAAACATAGAGCGCCAGGGATAGAGAAAAGGACTGTGTTACTGAATATATGTGGATAATATACATACAGCTATGGATTAAAGGGGTCTGTGTTCTCGGGTGGCTTTGTGTCCATCACTGTAGGTACAAAGCGTCACACATGAACTCGCTCTGGCTCTCTGTACCTCCCTCAGCCCCTCCCCACACAAGCTCTCAGTCACCTCTGTGCTCTGTCCCTGCAGACAGCGGAGTCCCCGAGGCTGCCATCGGTGTGACCACGGCCGCCATCGACGTGCACCGGCCCAACATCTCCTCGGAGCTGTTCACGGTGGACGCGCCGCTGCGCCTGGGCAGCACCGGCACCTCGGCCAGCCTCACGTCGGGCAGCGCTTCGCGCTCCACCGTCAGCTCGGGCACACGCGGCTGCAGCGAGAGCAGCCAGACCCTGGGCTCGTCCCCGGACTGCAGCACGGCCTGCGAGGAGCCCCGGCAGCGCACGGCCCAGGCCGCGGTGCAGGAGCTGCTCTCGTCGCTGTCGGAGGAGGCCTGCCTGGCGCAGAAGGGGCTGGATCCCGTCAACCTCAAACTGCCCAGCCCGGCCGGCTCCGTGGGGGCCAGCCCCGACCTCGGCCACCGGCTCAGCGTCTACAACCGCAGGAACCAGGAGAGTCTTGATGTCTTCCAGCTCAAGCCACTCCTCGACTGCCCCCAGGGTGCCCCAGTGATTGAGGAGAAGTATGGGGTGCTGGGGCCCCCAGAGCCACGGCTGGGCAGGGTTCCTGAGGCATAGGGCCCGCCCGGGGAACGGGGACTCCTGTGAGGACACACTCAGCACGCGGGCCCACAGGTGAGGTGGCAGTGCTGAAGACATCCCGTTGCATCTCCTGCAATGGCCACCAGCCTAGGGCCCGGCCAGCGTTGCCTCTGCTCCCCAGTGTCTGTGGCACATGACCTACCTGCCCTGCCACCAGCTCTGGGCCAGCTGGGACCTACAGTGGCCATCTGAGAACAATGGACCTTCCAGCAGTCTTGGGGCAATATGGACCCACAGGGCCTGGAGGGACAGACTGTGCCGGGAACACCACGGAACTTCCACCAGTCTAGGGCCAGCACGAGCCCCATAGTGCTGGGGGCAGGACAGAGCTGCTGGACAGCTTGGGCCCAGTCTGGCTCCCCAGCCTGACACTGCCCAGGGGCTGAGTGTGACTGGGAAGGGTGTGGAGATGGGAATAAACACTGACAAACACGTACAGCCTCCTGTCTTGTATCCCTCTTGCCTTCTTCTCTTACCTGCTTTCCCTCTCTTGCCCCACCACTCCATGTGCCATGCAACTGACCACCAAAAAAACCCCCAACGCAAAAAGCAACCATCCCAACACCGCAGTGACCGACCCCACCTCTTTCCAGTAAAATCCTTTATTTGCCCTTACTCCACAGTGCCAGGTCCCGTCACCAGCACTCACTTCTTCTTCAGGAGCTTCGTCATCTCTGGCACCGCCTGCAAACACCAGTGCCAGGGTAGTGCACGTTCCCCTCTGACCCCCACAGACTCGCCCTGTGCAGTTCCAGCCCGGCAATTACACTGCCCACCCACCCAGCACAGCACTCCAGGGGCTGTGGGTCACCCCAGCTCAAGCACTCCCCACTTATCTCCTGCTGAATAAAGCCTCTTAATTATTTAAGAGAGCTACATTTCCATTAGGTGGAAATAATGCATTCGTACAAAATTTATTAAGGAAATTGTCTACGTGGTGTTTCTTCAGAATGTGACTTTGGCTCACAAAGAAGCCTGTGCTCACCACGGATCTGACGGGCATTATTTCAGGAATGGCATTATATGCTGGCAGAGTTTCTGCCCATGCCTGCACAGAGCCACCACACTCCTGCCACTCACACGGGTGGCCACACACAGACACTGGGACAGGGCTGGCTCAGAGCTCCAGAGGAACTGCAAGCTCCTCCTGGGCATCAGTCAGTGAGGCAGAAGCCAAGGCAGAAATAATCACACCTCCTGCCAACTCTCTACTTCCAAACTTTATGAAGCTTAAAAATACATGTGAGCACCTATGTGTGGTTATTTCCAAAATGGTTCCATCTCAGCAAACAGAAGTGAGGCAGGCTGGCTGTGACACTCCCTCAACACAACCTACTTGCAGGGATTTGATTTTAAGCATGCAATCATTACATCAGAAAGCACATTTTTAAACAACAACCCAAACACCCTCACACAGACATCATCAACACTCATTAGGTTGTATTAGGTAAGCTCCTATCAGTTCTCCCAAAGTTACCCTGCACATCAAGTTTAGCCTCACCTGAAATAAGTCTGCTACCAGTCCATAGTCTGCCACTTGGAAAATTGGAGCTTCTGGATCCTTGTTAATAGCAACAATGGTCTGCAAGCAAAGTTAAAGCACCATATGAATCTAGATACTGATCATCCTCTGGGGCTGGATTACAGGGCCAGGTTTTAGCTAGGAAATGGGCTATATTATCTCCAAGCCCCCAGAAGCAGAAGATTTATCTGGGCATTTTATATTTTTCCATTTCAAAAACAAGCACCTCCTTCCCTCCACAATCCCCCTGAAACAAAAACCCCAAACCCCTGCTCGTCATACACATTTCTTCTATCCTTCCCTGTTGAAAAGCTTAGAAAAAATTACTACAAAGGATTATCTGCACATTCCAAGCTGTACCACTGCAGAACTAACCTGGAAGCAGCAGTTACGACAACCACAGTAAAGCCCTGCTCAAAGGCCTCAGTACTTAAAATGGGACAGCATTTAGTTTGTCACACAGTAGAAAACAGCACAACAAATCCCAACAATGATCCAGAAAACGTCTTGGTGTAAACCCTGCCCTACATTGAATCATCCTTAACTGCCTGTGACAGCTTCCAGCAAGACAAGCATGGGTGGGTGTCCTCATCAAAATCTGCAACAGGATGGGGAGCACTCCATAGAGGAAGGGAAAAGAATCCTGAGCAAACCCAGCAGCTCACAGCAGGAGCCTTACACCAAGAAGGGGCTGGAGCACAGCACTGGGGCAGTGCCTGCCCCTCCACACTGCCAGTGGAAGCCGTGGGTCAGGGCAGCTGAGACAGCCAAGGAACCACACTCCATGTGTCTGTTTTACTCCCTCCACAGAAAGGCCAACAATATTAATGGCTCAGTAAGCAGGGGCCTAGTGGCAGTAACTCAAAGAGAAATGCTTATAAATCCTGTGGTTTTAGCAGAAATGTTATTTCTTGGCCATTTGTCCCCTGGGAGTCCCTGTAAAGGAGCCCACCACACATGCAAGCAGGCAGTACCCAGAGCACTGCCCCTGCCCTCTGGCCAGCTCATAGCCAAGGACATGCAAGTGCTGCAGCAATGCTGCCCTTGAAATGTTCTCCCCAGAGCTTTACTCTTTTGGAGTTTTATTTCAGTTACCCCTCTTTGCAAATGCAAACCTCCCCACACAATCTGCAGTGCAGGAAGCAAATCCAGGCTGTGATCCCTGAGGGTACTGGCCCAGTAAAAACTTTCTCTGACCCTTCTGAGGCCCTGCCATTCCTTGCAGAACCATCCACAGGGGCTGATGCTGAGACCCAGCCAAGGCCAGCAGTCAGTGAGACCACAGGGGATGCCAGCTCTGTCCTTAGCACAAAAATAATTTAAAAATTGCTTGCAAAATTGTCTGAAGCTTTGGTTTGGCAGCCTAGTCCTGCCTCTGCCTCCTTTAGCTGGAGTAATTTCAGTAAGATTTGACTCCCCTACCTCATTGCTACCTCAGGTGAGCAGCAAAAGCACCACCTTGCTCATAACAGAACTTTGTAGTTAAATCTCTGAGTAAGAAAAGACAGGGGAACTCTCATGAGGGAATTAGAAATAAGGAAAGAGAGCAACAACTCTTCAGGTCTCCTCAAAAGCTGCATTTTCTACCTTGCTGTAAAAGAACAAATGAATTATGCATTTCACTTGGTAGAAAGCATCTGACTGTTTTGGAAAACATATCTTGAAGTGTGCAAGTTCACAGTGCCTGATAATTCAGAGTGCTGAGGGAGGACAGGGGACGCTCCAGAGAGCTCCCATAGCTGCAGAATTCTTTGGGAAAACTGGATCTTCTCCATAACTACCCCACCTAAATGCTTTAGCTAAAAGAAAGGCAGAACACATTCTAAATACCAATAACTAAATCTGAATTTTACAACAGACACATTAGCTTACACTAAAAAAACTGAGATACGGGAGAATTGGAAGGGTTAAGTAAGAATCTCTTATCAACAAATTTCATCTGTCCTTATTTCTTATAGCAGAATACCTCAAAATATCAAACATGCCTTTGGAGAAGCCATAAAAGCAGAGGTTTTGCTGTTAGAGTACAGGATAATATCACTGCTCAGTGTTTGTGTAACAAAGGAAATTCTGGATCATCAAGTCAGAGGTTCCTAGTGCTGCTGGCAGTCTTAACTGAGATAAGGTAGCAGAGAAACACAACGAGGGTCACATCAAGTCTTATGCAGCTTCCAGTACCCAGTCTCAGTCAGTGGCTGCTGCCCAACTCCTCACTCAGCCAGGGCACAGCTGGAGCCTGAACTGCCCCAGACAAAGCCCAGCAGTGCCAGAGGAGCCCAGGCGGCCCAGCAGCAGTGCCTGGACTCTCCTCTGCTGCACTGCAAGCAGGAATGTGGCAGAAACTGTGGCACTGCTGTTCACCAAAGCCCTTGGCAATACACTGCCACAGTTCCCACTTCTCAAGAGACACCTTCACTCTTGCCCATCACACAACCTGAATCGCTTCAGTTTTGGTTGTTTTTTCTCCACTGCAGTAACTAACACTAACGGCACTCAAGTCCCTGCTTTTAGAAAGCCTGTCATTTCCCCCCAAAATGCCTATATAATACATCAGAAAAAAAAATTGTAAGAAAGCAGAGATCATCCTACCACACGGGCTGGTTTGTGAGGACAATTACCAGTCCCAAACTCACTGGTTAAACACAAGAAAATACCTGCAAAGTTTTGCAACCCTTTTCCTCAGCTCTGTAAACTATTCAAAGCTGTGGCTTGTTTAAGTTCATTCCTTGAAAATAGAAAGTTCATTCCTTGAAAATAGAAAAAAATAGATAGCATTTTTTAAAAATTACTGTGGGAAGCAGAAGCTCCAGTTTTTGATGTCTGCCATTTGATAGTATCAATCAGCAGGTAACTGCTCTTCTTCTCAAACACTGCACTGTGGGCCAAACTGGCAATTCCATTTTTGGATTATTTGCTTTGGCAACTAATGAGTTAAACCTTTTAAAGTTTTACTGCCGTTTTATTGCAGGTTTCCATTTGAATGGCTAAATGCAGGAATGTCAGAGACATCTTTTACTTTATGGAATAGTAAGTTCATAATTCAAATTGTGCATTGTTATGCATGAATTAATATGTCATAGTCTGGAATAAAGGCAAATGTAACTATTGTATAGGATTCAGGCATATGTGCCTTGGGTTGGGTTTTTTTAAACAAAGTCAATTAGCTGCTTCCACTGATCACTTTGGGCTGTAGTGCAAAGGGTTTTCCACTGCGCGACATCTTTTGCCACAGTATTTGGGTTATTTGTCAAAGAGTGTTTTACAGCAGCAGGAAATACAAAACCCATCTAAAGTACTGATGCAAAAGCAAGGGAGTCCACTCACTTCCTTCCTTAAAAATCTTTTCTAGTACATCCACCTTCACATACCTTGCTGTCTTTCATTCCGGCCAAGTGTTGGATTGCTCCAGATATTCCCACAGCAATGTAAAGTTCCTAGGAAAAAACAAGATACAGACATTTTTGGTCCCCACACCACAACAGTCTCACTGAGCTCTCACAAACCTTAATCCAAATCAATTGCATGCAGCAGTTTTTACATTACAGTAGTTTTCAATAATAAAGGCAGCTGATGGTTGGTTCCCCTCCCCACCTGGGGATGCAATGTGACTGCAAAAGGAGAACCCCAAAGGAGCACCTAGCAAAGACAGATTAGGGGGGAAAAATAAACAAAGTCTGCATCAAAAACATATGACACTGCTCAGCTAAAGGCCAGGGCAATCCATGTAATCCACGACTCTGGAGATTCCCAGTGCAAATATTAAGGAAGATAACCTACAGATGGATAATGCAGTTGCCTGAAGAGCAAACCAAGGCTCTTCTTCAAAGCCTCTCAGAGCCTTTACCAAGGCAGAATGCTGAAAGCTGAAATTCGGGTGTCAGGCCTTTGAAAGGCTCCCTACAGAGCAGGATAAACCTCTGAGGTACCCAAGTGGGCTGTGCCCTGCACACCTGCAGTTTGTGTTCCTCACCCCAGCCCTCGTGTCCTCTTGGCCTTCCCCACTCGCTGCCACTCCCACACAGGGTGAGTACAGAAGCTACACCAGCTACACCAACAGCTCTACACCTTGGGGCTTCCAGTTTCACATCTCCAAAGATTCTTACAGTCAAAAGAGATGAAAATTTATAGGTAAATAGATCTGTGTCAGCTGTTCTATTCACAGCTGAAAACTATTATTTCTCCTTGGACTGAAAGCCATCCATTCTATAATCTACCCAAAAACAAGGGTATTTCAGGGCCCTGACAGTTTCACCAGTCAGAGCTGTACTCTTTAGCTAACTAATATTACAGAAGAAAACTAAAGCAAGTACTTTTCATCCACTCATTCAATAACAGAAAATTAACACAAATTTAGTTAGGGGCTCATCTATCAAAAGCAGTCAAAAGGTGGTATTTCACACATGCTTAGAAAAGACACAGCCTCAAATACTAACATAATTTCTCCTTTAAAAATGCCAAGGGTATTCCGTATCTAAGAAAATATAAATCTAATTTAACTCAATAAATAATACTGGGTGGCCACAGGGAGCATAAGAGGGTCAAAACCAATCTTACCACTGTGCAGCTGAAACTGCTTTACAGTTAAGTGGCTTTTGGCAAGGCAGAGCCAAGCCCAGCTGTGGGACATGCACAGACCTTCACAGGAGAGTGGCAAACAAAGGTGTTCAAACACAGACCCACAGAGGCTTCTGCCATACAGGCCTCAGAGTCACAACATCACTTAAAGAAAAAAATGCTTTCTGATGTTTCTTCAACTACAGACTCTGCTCACTATAGTTTTTAAAGTAGGAATAGATAAATGAAATTCATGAAGTTTCTCTGTGTTTTTATATAAAAACTCTCTAGTGTAAAAACTGAAGGGGAGGGGAAATAAAGCAGAAATTAAGCATTTCCTATCAAAAAGGCTTCCTTTGAAATTGAAACACGGAATCTAGTCCATGTACTTCCACAAAACTACACAGCTGGTGAACACACTCAGAAACTCCTTGGCCTCAGCAGGCTTTTACCAAGTGGATTACTATTGGAGGTCAATCCATTTTAACCACAGCTGCAATGTAACCTAATATGTCCACATTAGAACTCATGGTAAGAATGCAATATTTTAATTATACCAAATAAAAGAACAGATGTTACAGGAGAAATTATTCTAACATCATGCTGTTTTAAATACAAGCTCTTTTTAAAGACACATTATCATAATTTGATTTTTTTTAGCGCAATTCATTAAGTGCCAGTCATCCAGACTACCAGATACTCTTATCAGTCTGCTTAACATTGTGAAGTTCAATCTTTGGAAAGAATCCAGCTAACCAGGAGCCAGATGCCTATGAATATATTCTATTAAAATATCTAGGAAAGACAAGGATGTTTCATTAAAAGGACATTCGTTAATCACCAGGCTTGTCTAAAAGCACTTAGGCGTCTAGGCCATGGCCTTCAAGGTTATGTGCTTTTGGCTGCCTGGTTCAGACGAGTGTTCCTGTCACTCAGCTCTAACCCTGACAGGAGATCACCCCAGCAATGTTTTCATATAGAGAGCACACAGGACAGCAGGGTTCTTGCCAACACTTCTGTGCTGTCAAAGGGGCAGGACAGTTTACATCTTAGTTTTAATCTATTCTGCAGTTCAGTAGGAGGGACCCAAAGGACCCACCATGTCTAAATGATAAAGCTTCAGGATTGTTCACTGTTGTCCTGAAGAGAATTCAACTGGTCATCCAGAGACGACATAAAGCATTGAGAAATTCAAAACCTTATTTACTTTCAGGGTAATAACCTTGTTTTGATGTTTTCCCTGAAATCACTGATTTCTATCAGGCCTTTTGCTGAGTCCTGTCATTGCTGTCAGAGTTCGAAGTCCCAGGTCAGGACTGTAGCCCCAAGTGCCATGAAGCAGGTGAGGCAGGGAAGCAGAAAGGAGCTGGGTGCCCCAGGGCAGAGGGTGCTGGGCCATGGCAGCACAGGGCAGCTCTGCAAGGAGCTCTGGATCCTTCAGAGCTCCTCTGGGCAGGACACCCACACAAGGCAGGAGCAGATGAACCCGAGTCTGGCTTGCACCTCTCAGGGGCCAGATGTGGCTTTACACCAACTTCGAGTTCCAGCTTTTTAGAACCCTGTAAGTTTGCTCTAATTACTGCTGCCAGGCAGCTGATCCACAGCCCCCAGTTACAGGCACTTACAGCAAAGTCCAGGACATGGAGTAGCATTTCTCAACTCCCTGGTGCTGGGCACAGGCAGATTTCCACTGAAGGGCTGCTGCCAGCACTGTGCCACATGAGAACAGGCAACAAAACAGCACACACATATTCCAGAGCAAAGGGTTCACAGCACTGTGAACAAATGGAGTGCCAAAAGCAATTGAAGTCAAGGAAGTAAATGTTTTGGTGGTATATGGACATAACACCAGCTTCCAAAATTGTCTTGGTTCTTGGTAACTTCATTTCACACAGGAAATACTGTACAAACATCACGGCCATGCCACAAATATTTTTATGAAGTTTCTGACAGATATCAGCACAGGGAAAGGACACCAAAGAAGAGAGGTGATGGCAAGGAAGAGCAGGATGGAGGGAACACGTGGCACAGGACAGTGAACGCACGTTTGGTGCCAAGACTCTGCAAAGCAGAGCAGGAGGAGGCACCATGAGGCAGGACCAGCACTGCAGGGGTGCTGCTGCTGGAAGGGCTCAGTACCCTGATTTTGGGCAGCTTTGGAGGGCCTCAGCAGCTCCTGCCAGGTGTCTCACAGGGGCCACAGCAGCAACCCAAGGTGTCTCTGCCAAAAACTGGCACAGAGGCCAAGGGGGCTTTCGTTTGTCCTGCCACACGTCCTGCACAACTCCAGTGGCAGGCAGAACCCTGACAGAGACCTCCAAGTTTATAAGCACAGGTTTGCATCACAACCACCCTAAAAAATCCCCACAACTCCAACTCCCAAATTTATCCAAAGTCACGATTAAAAATCCACTTTCTCAGTTGCTAGTTAAAGTATTCATCTAGACTTTTATTTTTCCAACAGAAATGACCATGGTATGTCTTAGAGTCATTACATGCTAATCATTAAAATGGAAAAAAATCTTCCTTGGCCATTCCCTAAACTCTATTTCTGCTTCAGACATAGCCAACTTATATATTGGCAGATTTCACATGCACATATCTGCACATCTGGCCCCAGAATCCATACAGCCACTTACATGCTGTTTGGAGAAATGCACAGGAGTGCTGTATGTGGATGACTGCAATTACCAAAATACCAATGCAGTTATTTTCCTGTGCGTACAGACTCTTGCAATTATTTATAGAATAATTTGTGGCATGTGATATTACTTCATTTATACATATATTTAAATATGCCTTAGGCTGCCTTGGGGTAGTTAAGGGACATTTGCTTAAGAGAACTACAAGAACAGTTTTTATTTCAACTCCAGAGCCTCTGAATGGTGCTGTGACAGGCCACAGGGCAGCCACAGATGCCCCACAAGCTGAGGTAGCTACTTTGCAAGCATGTTGTCAGCTACTATTGATTTTTACTACAATTTTTGAATTATGCTGAAAACCTCCAACACACATCAATTTGTCATCCTACCAATGGCATGCTTTTAAACAGGCCAGTTTAATACACCCCTCTGGCATACACACTATTTTTAAAGGCAGCTCAGATATTTTATTTTCTTTGCAAGAGTGAAAGGACAATGAAATTAGAAAGAAATCTTTGTGATCAAAATTGCTTTGTACAAGACATTCCTTCCAATTACAAGCTATTAAGACAATAAAATATCTTCTGGCTTGACAGCAGTTCATGTCTATTACACTGTACATCACACACTTCTCCAGTATGTAAAGCTTTGGTGCAGCTGAACCCACTCCATTCAAGAAGCACCCATCACTAAACTAGAGCCCAACTGCAGCTTCTTTTTCACTTTAAGAACCTTTGATCAGCCAGGCTGTGTAATTACTCTTAAGCATGGTTAGGGTGTCTGCTGGAGTGCAGGGCCATACAGCAATTTTTTTTTCCCCTCTCTCCAGGGAAAAGCACATCAATTGCTTTCAGCTAAATGCACTCACATATTAATATTTTAGTACAATTTAATGTTTCTGCACCAACCCCAAAGGAGCAGAGCATCAATTTGTGAACATAGTTTTCTTGGAGTTAAAAGCTGCACTGGATAATGCAGGATGAAAGGGGCTGTCAATCCTTAGCTTTTTAGCAAGTCAGAGAAAGACAGTCTGTAAATTCAGTCCCAGCTGTATACAAACAGCTCTCTAAAGTTTGCCACCATAAAGCTACTTTTCAACAATAGTGAATTATCAGAGGAGATATTCCAAAAACAATTTCCCAAGCACAGTTGGTTTTCCCAATGCTAGTCCCATCTGCCACGTACCTAACAGCCCCAACCATTTATACCATGCAAGGTGCACCTGCTGGTCTGTTAAT